AACTACAAAAAGAAGCTATTACAGTGTCAATAAACCCCTTTTTTCTTCAACTACATAAATATGACAGAGAATAACATTTTTGCAACCAATGGAGATGGAAGCTCATTAAGCAATCGCCCGCCTGGTTAATTTTCCTTGGGAATCTGTTGGAAAAATTTATGTGTGTTGCCTGTTCAAAAACATGCACAAGTACAGCCAACAAAACAGAAGCAAAATATTCTGTACATACCACACTTTCTCGTAAAATTTATTCCCTCTGAATTTTGGCAAGGTCATTACAGTGCTGTAAGTTTAACTTCTACTGTCAAGAGAAAAGATTTTAAATCTCCCAGTATTAGAGGGTTGACAGCCACATTTTAATTGGAGGATAACAGTTCACTGTAAGTCTCCTGCTTCTACAGGCCTGAAGCCCACATTTCAACTCAGGGGTAACAGCAACAGTGCTGAAAATAATACAGCTCTTGGCCAGCTGTCCTCAGACATGCAATGTCAGGATCAAGCACCATGACACTAAAGCATAACATATCAGTGGTTCACAATGTGCTGAATGAGACCCCTTCATTTCTCTTCATTTCAGTGTCAGTATCATTAAATAGTCTGTAATTAACAAATTAGTCAAATACAACATTTACAAATTTATCTTAATAATAATCATAAAGACACATTTTACTCCATTAAAATACATATTCTGGACATACTTAATGAAGAGTAGGGCTTAATTTTTTCTGATTTGTGGCAGGTTATTATCCTTCTCAAATGAATTCCAAGAAGCACAATAATAAAGAAAATTAAATGGGAAGAAAACAATAAATATTCAAGCTATTTTCTGTTAATTTCTGTTTCCACATTGACAATCTTCCATGTATTAGAGATCATTTTACATTGGTTTTCTGCCTCCATTCTTAAGACTGAAGAATGTTTCTAATAAAGGTTGGTTTCTGTGTAATCCATGTTTTGCCTGAAACAAATTTCACTGTAGTAACGCTCAATTCTCACTGTGGTGTGTAGGACCTAACTCAATAAGGAATGTATATTAAAATTTGAGATATAATTAATTTGTACATGAATGCAGGCAAAAAATAACAGAATTATGGAGATGTTTGGGAAACAGTAGTTGCATACTGGAAGGTATTTAAAAGACAATAATGACATTTTACAGCACTACAAGTAAACAATAAATAATAAGAAACACAAAGGCATAAATTTCATGAGAAAATGGGTAAAGAGCCATGAATGTCATACCAGCTGAGGTGCCTATTTTGTTCAATCCAACTGTTGCTCTGACTACAGGAATATAAGACTGGCAATTGAACAGGTTACTTACCCAGTTTCAAAATGAGAAGAAAACAAGGAACTAAATTGGCAAAGATGTATAGGAAAGTACAGAATAAGTGTCTAAAAACATATATTCATAACATGGTGTGAATATGAAAAAGGCATTGGAAACATGGACGCTACACACACAGAAAAATAACTAAATAAAACTCAGGAAATTTTTGGAAGTGCCTTTAGAAACAGATGTAGATACACTGAAGTAATGCAACAATTCAATACTCTTTTATGGAAAAAAGTTCTTTTTATACCACACCAGGTATATGTAATTTCTTCTGAAGAGTAGAACAAGATATAAAGTTCTGTTGGAAGTGTAACTAAATTACTAAATTCTCTTAGAATGTAAGACAAATTTATTAATTTAAATTGTCAGAACAATCTCAGTTCACTGCTGCATGCTGAAAAGTCTCAACTGTCTACCAGACTACGCAGTTTGTGTATTATCTGTGCTGGAAAGAGGACTACTGGCATCTTCATTTTAAATGTTAGTTCAGTGACATTTATTCAGCTGGTCAAGAAATTTTCAATTGTTATTATAATGAAAACCTGTCATTATACACAATCTCAAATCAGCTGAATCAGGGAACCTTCTCAACGTTTTATCTCATTTATCTCATATCCAAAATGTGGTGTCCTACTATAAAACAAACAATTAAAAAAAATTAAACTTTTAAGATTGAGGAGAGACAAGTCTAATAATTATCAGATATCCAAACAATTCTAAATATTTCTTCAAAATGTAATTATTTGAAACCAAGGTGTCTAAAACACAGAGATGCCTTATTGCCAGTCCTTTTCAACTTTGCTTTAGAATATGCCATTAGGAAGGTCCAGAGAAACCAGGTGGGACTGAAATTAAACGGGACACATCAGCTGTTAGTCTATGCTGATGATGTGAATCTACTGGGTGATAATATAGGTACCATAAAGAAAAACACAGAAACTTAACTGATGCTAGTAAGGAGGTTAGTCTACAAAAAAACACAGAGAAAACTAAGTATATGTTGCTGTCTCATCACCAAAATTCAGGGCAAAATCATGACATAAAGATAGGTAACAGATGTTTTAAAAATGTGGCACAGTTCAGATATATGGGAATGAAGATAACAAATCACAATCTGATTCAGGAGGAAATTAAGAGGAGATTGAATTTTGGTAATGCTTGCTACCATTCAGTCCAGAACCTTTTGTCTTCGCATCTGCTGTCCAAAAACATAAACATTAGAATATACAAAACTATAATTTTGCCTGTGGTTCTGTATGGGTGTGAAACTTGGTCTCTGACATTAAGAGAGGAACACAGACTGAGGGTTTTTGAGAATAGGTGTTGAGGAGAATATTTGGATTGAAGAGAGATGAAGTGATGAGAGGCTGGAGAAAACTGCATAATGAGGAGCTTCATATCTTGTACTCTTCTCCAAGTATAATTAGAGTGATCAAGTCAAGGAGGATAAGGTGGGCATGTAGCCCGAATGGGAGAGAATAAGTATGCATATAGGACATTAGCGGGAAAGCCTGAAAGAAAGAGACCACTGGGGTGACCCAAGATGTAGGTGAGTGGACAATATTAAAATGTATCTTAGAGAGATAGGATTGGATGGTATGGATTGGATTGATCTGGCTCAAGATATGGACCAGTGGAGGGCTCCTGTGAACATGATAATGAACCTTCGGGTTCCATAAAATGCTGGGAAATTCTTGACTAGCTGCACAATTGGCAGCTTCTCAAGAAGGGCTCAGCTCCATGAGTGAGGGGGTTTCAAATAACTGTTCCATAGTTCTGTCTTCTGAACTGCATTATTGCCTGTGCGATGATTTTTAACCAAGCATGTATCTTACTTGAAAAGGATTATGTTGCCTTGATTTGAAAATAAAAATCCAGAACTAACAGACTACAAACTAACAGAAAATTACATAGGAAATGATGGAAGGAAAATGAAGTGGGCTGTCTATGCACAGTGTACTCAGTGGCATTTATTTATCCAGTCCGACATTTACGTAAAAAGTTCCTCACTGAATGCGCGACACAACCTGATTACACCTTCTGCAATCTCACAGATTTCATGTGTCTGAGTCTGCAGAAAATACACAGAAACACACTTGGTACATGAATGGGTAGCAGAACTGGACGTGAGAGTAGCAACGCCTTGGAAATGTGGAAGTGGAGCTGTGTTGCATTGGAACACTTCAACATCTCTATATTAAGACTGATTTATATGGATCACTGGAGAAAATTATGGACACTGTTTGAAAATAAATCAATGAACTCCCAAATGAATGAGTATTATAGATGACTACTAACAAAAATATGTTTTTATATTTTACAATGTTAACTGGTAGTGTCACAGTGATGATCTCTGGCCTGTTAGTATTTTTTAACTTCTCTTATTTCAGGCTAATCACATCACTTCATTATTTGTGAACCAAAGTTCCACTGAACAGTCTGACCAATCAAGATATTGTCAGGTAGCATGTGTGACTATAGATGGGGTTTGGATTGGTGAATAGATTTCCTGACCAGTTACGGGTTGTAACTACAAATAACTATTTCCACTAGAGCACACAGACTAGCATTCTCAGTCTGTTACTAGTTGTTTCCTGTTAATGGCTCCAACAATGGCTATTCCTCTGCCTCCGGCTCAAGTCCTGTCTCCTCAGATTCCCATACAGAACAGATTCTCAACTGACTGAGCTCCAAACCTCCCAGTTATAGCATCTTGGCACAGACTGCATAGAACACACAGTTATTCTATCATTGTGTGCACTGCGTAGCAATGGTCACCGTTTACAGAATCATTGCTTAGCAATGGGTCTATACATCACATTATGAACTTTTAGTCTAAGGGAACTGATAATTTTAAATCCCCAGGCACTACAGGGCTGGACACAAGTTTTAGCCTTGGGTAGAACTTAATGTTTTGGGAGCTGGATCTCATGCATGTGACAAACTGCCAGTGTGGGTTAATAACAGTGGAAATGGATGAGCTCACATAAGTCTATTCCAGCACAGATCTAACATAAATTACACAGTCAAAGTGGAACGTGGACTTGCCTCTCTCAAAAGCTTTTTGACAGTTTCTGCTCAATTACGCACACGTGGAGGAAAACAAAAAGATGTCTCAAACACCTTCCTCAACAATACAAGTTCAAAATTCTTTCTTAACTTGGTATCAAATACTGTGCCTGTTTCACATTTGAATACGGCACAGTATTACAAGGAATGAGAGTCAGGATAGCACAGTAGGTATAGTGACTGGCTACGGGCTGGATGGCCGAGAGGTTGGAGTTCCAGTCCCTGTGGGGGCAAGAATTTTCACTTCTCCATGTTGTGTAGACTGGCTCTGGAGCCCAACCAGCCTCCTATCCAATGGATACTGGGGGTTCGTTCCCTGGCTGTAAAGCAGCCGGGGCCTGAAGCTGACCACTCACCTCCGACTAGTGCCAAGGTCAAGAAAACATGACTCTATCCACCCACTCCCCCATATACATATTTTCATGGTTTAGTTCTTGATTAGTTATGCATAGGGACAACTTCACCTTTTTCTTTAATTACAAGGAATAATGACAAAAAATTGTAGTTGCACTTCCAACTTCCTTAGTTTGTTCAAGTTGACACCCAATCCCGCAACAGCTGAAATCCAATTTGCACATTAAAACATTAGAAGTACCTGAACTGTGGTGCTCTGATCCGAGAATGGACTATTGAAGAAAGTACTGATGATGTTCATAACACTGTTGATGATGTAATTTTCCAGGGCTGTATCTGCATGTTTTCTGTCATGAGTGGCATTCGCCACATTTCCCATGTCCACTAAGAAACTTTTTTCAAAGAGGCTCCACATGTGATTTGAGGTATAAATTTCCTTCATCTCCACTTCTGTGTCTATATAGCAATGATTTAGGAAGTTTATGTAAGCTTCCTTTACCTGAAAACCAAAAATCTGATTGGTGAAATACCTATAAAAACTCTGTGCAACAATTAAAATACATAATATGCAAAATTCTGAAGTATGCTATTTATTCAATTTTCGATCTTTGACTAAAGAGTTTTAATAGGCTATTTCTATGGAACAGGGGAAAGAATGTGTATTACCTAGTTTAAATTTTAACTTCAAAAAATTATGAACAGTGAATTCATCAGACACTACCTCTATGTACAGTAGATCCCTAATTTAAGGTTTTCTCTCATTTAATGTTCAATTCCAGTGATCCAAAGTCAGTATAAACAAACTTGAATTACCTACATTTATGACTTTTTGTCACCTTACTGTTCAAAACCAATGGTTTCCAAAGGAGTCTTTGGGATTCCACTGTATTTAAAACAAGCAATCTGGATGAGTTACTACACATGCTGCGATGAAGGTGAAGATCTTCGCATGGCATTCCATTTTTATAATTTTAAATTGTCAGAACTATTTAATCCATGTCTTTGCACCCACTATACATGCCAAAGTCCAAAATTACCCAAAATATAGAAAATATTTGCAAATTATAATATCAATACATTTCATGTCAAACAAGATTCAAAAAGTGAATTAAAAATAAACACAGAAGAAGGAAATTAAAATGCATTTGCAGGGATCAAATAGGACAAGAAGAAAAGAACCCACCAGTTAAAATAACCACTTCAAAGATTTGTAAATCAGGTTTCTTGCCCTCAACACAATTTAGACTAAAACTATGAACAAACAAAGCGAACTCTGTGGTTTTAGTCCACAAACTAACTATATTGTATGAGTGGCCACCGCTGGTCGACGAAGTTAGTGCCAACTTCAGCGGATAGTGTGTGTCACATGGTCAGTGCAACAAATCCCCACGGCCGTTAATATCGGTTTTCTAGACCAGAGCCGCTATGTCCTTGAAAAAGTTCCTCAATTATCCTCACGAGGCTGAGCAGACCCCGTTCCAGACCCACTACTTCTCAGAAAAATGTGGTAGCGCCAGAAATCGAACCTGGGACGTCTCGATCTGCAGCCACAAACTCTGACCACTAGACCATGGAGGCGGTCATACAACCACAAAAAACAACAAAAATATTAAAAGACTACTCACAGGTAAAAAATGAGACGTACCTAAGTACCTTAAAGTCTGCCTCATGGTGAATGAAGAAAATAAGTTTAAATCTATATTCATTTAACAGGGGCAAGCGGTAGCATAGTTGGTTGAGGTAATATGCTACAAGCTGGAAGGTAGCAGGTTCAAGACCCGAAGAAGTGGACTTTTTCAATTGACCTAATCCTTCCAGTCGCACTATGGCCCTGGGGTCAACTCAGCATCTAACAGAAATGAGTACCAGGAATCTTCCTGGGGGTAAAGGGGGCGGCTGGCGCGTAAGGCTGACGCCCTTACCTCAATGTCTTACAACCCTATGGGCCTTCATGGCCTGTTACAGGGATAGCTTTATATTCGGTTAACTGCATATTAAATGACACAATCAAATGTGCGAAGCCATTTACTTGTGTAGCTGTGACACAACTGATGGTTCAGTTGAAACCTGAAGATGTTTAATAATGATGCTGTTTCAATACATAAATAACCAAAGAATTTTCTAATGCTTTAATGTATTTTATTGATGGAATGGTTCTAAAGCTGTGCTTTGCAGAGGCCATACAGTGGTCCCAGGGGATCTGCAGCTGCCTCTCTAATAATAAATTTTAATTTTACAAATTTTTTATAAATAACATGTTGTTACAGAGATATGAAGTTGCTTTCATTGTGAACTAGCACTACTGTCAGTAAAGTATACTTCTGAAACCCCTTAACTAATGTACACTTGCAAATATACAAGGGTTGGAACTTTAATAGTGGCAACTATTTATTTACAACTGATACAAAAGAGATGCATGTTTCAAAGTTTTACTGTCCTTCAGTGTAGTCACCAGCATTGTGTACAACCTGTTGCCAGCGATGTGGAAGTCGTAGGTTACCTTTAGCAGTGCCTGTTGTGTTGATAATTTGTATGGAGCGGTCTACTGCCTGAAGAATCTCTGAACAGTTCTGAAGCGAATGCCACGAAGTGGTTCTTTCAGCTTAGTAATCAAGTCAAAGTCACAAGGGCTTAAGTCTGGGAAGTATGGTGGATGGTACAGCACTTCCCAGCCTCATCGATCGAACAAATCAGCCACAGCTTGCACTGCCTGGGGCCAAGCATTGTCCTGCAAAATGATGGGTTCATTCTGCAGTAGGTGTTTCTGCTTCTTTCTAAAAGCTGGTAACAGGTTGTGTTCCAAAAATGAACAGTAATACTGCACACTGACGGTCTGCTGTCAGAGAATGGTATGTGTTAGGACACTGCCATCACAGCTGTACATGAGAATCACCATAACTTTCACATTGCTGGGGTTCTCACGAACTTTTGATTTTTGTGGTAACCCATAATGATGCCATTCGTTCGATTGGCGTTTCATTTGTGGCTCGTACGATTTGGCCCATGTCTCATCCAGCATAATGATACGGCATAAGAAAGCCTCTCCTTTGCACTCACAGCGGTTACGAGCAGTGTTGTATCGTAGCCATTTCTGCATTTCCATCAAATCATTCGGAACCCATCGTGATGCAATTTTTCTCATGACCAGGTGTTCCTTCAGAATGTGAAGCACAGTCATATGTGCTAATCCTGTCTCTCGGGCCAGCTCACAAATTGTATGGCATCAATCACTCTCCAGTAACGTGGAAAGAGCATACACTTCTTCACTGACACTAGGACGACCTGCCTGACACATGTCTGCACATTTTGGTGTCCCTTGTTGAATGCTTCTACCCACCTTGCTACCGTTCTGTAAGGCAATGCAGATTCCCCGCAAGCCTCTTGAAAACCTTGATGACACTGTCGTGCTGTGCAGTCTCTGGCACATTCAGTCTTTATCCAACTCTGTTGTTCCTGTTTCGAAAACATCGTCACAAACCTACATTATACCGCCAGCTAACACGAGGCTCTATTCTTCTCATCACTGCGCATGCGCATGATGTGGGAAGGGAGAGTCCATTTGCTCTGAGGCAAGGTAGGTATGTAACTAATGTGTGGTATAAGCAACATTATTTGGTTCCGTTGCATGTCGTCTCTACAGCAGTGTTGCCACTATTAAAGTTCCAACCCTCGTGGATGTAGTCTCTGCAGCACATTGCTATGGTCATTGCAGAGTGGTGTACAGATATGAAGCCGTTGTCTTGAGCTGACAGTTTAGTTCTGAGTTATAGTACACATTAGAATTGTGAGGAAGAGACAAGTAGTGTTTACCCAGTCTTGCACAGTGACACTGTTAAGGGTGCAGAAAGTAGTAAAAAGTGGATGTACTATGTTTTGGTGGTTTGCAAGCACTGGTGACACTGAAGTTCCAAATACACAGTGCATCATGTTACCAATCAGTCCAATGCTTCCTGCAGCCATCTTTAAACTACAGAGAATGATTTGACTTCTTTGGCTGGAATCTTGAGGCACTAAAAACTGCTAAAAGGCTGAGAGCCAAAATTGCAAGGACTGCTAATGAAAACAAAACCATGACCTCATGACCTCCTACATGGTGAGCTATCTCACTGCACAAAAGAGCAGCTCATACAATCCCAAAATTTTAATTAATGGCAGACCATAAAAATGCAAAGAAGAAAACATAACCAGATTCAGTTCTCAAACAATAACATATTCTAGAGATATCAGCTGATACAGATCACATGACTGAAATCATGTATTGATGGGTTTCTCTTGCAAACAAACAGATGTGTTTTGACTTGCAGCAGATATACGTAGTCAGTCAAAAAGTTCCCGGAATTCCCCTGCAGATGAAGAATGAGCAATAAGATGGCGCACACACTGTTGTGGTGGGAAGCTCAGCATGTCTGCTTGCAGGCGCAACAGGTCTGGACAGGTTTCAGTGTGCGTTCCATTTGAAGTAGACGTGAGTGTTGGTCATTCGGCGCAATGTCACAGTTCAAACAGCGTGCGAACATCAAATTCATGTGCAAATTGGGAAAATCTGCTTCAGAGACGCTACTGGCCCTGGAGCAAGTTTACAGTGATACTGCACCTAAGAAATCCGCAGTTTACAACTGGTTTTCCCAGTTTAAGAATGGGCAGGAGATGTTAGGGGATGACCAACGCAGCGGGAGACCTTTGACATACAGAACTGAAGAAATGATTGGAAAGTGCGACAACTGATTCGATGTGATCGAAGAATGACCATCACAGAGTTGGAGCAAGAAGTTGGTACTGTTACTGGCCATTTCTCCGTGCAAGTTTTACAGAGGTTGCGCGATGCGGTTTGGAGGAAGCGGCACAACAAGTGGCAGGGACAGCAGTTTCTGCATCACGATAATGCACCAAGCCACACATGGCTTGTTGTGCAGCAATTCCTCGCCGAGAAAGACATTCCTGTCATCACTCAGCCACTGTACTCTCCAGATATCGCTCCGAGTGACTTTTGGCTGTTCCCTACTCTGAAAATGGGCCTCAAGGAGACACGTTTCCCAACCATGGAGGACATCAAATCGAATGCAACAGCTGAGCTCCGGAAGATACCAAAGGAGGCCTTCCACCACTGCTTCCAACAATGGCAGGATCGATGGAGCAAGTGTGTGTGTGCATGCAAGGGTCCTACTTTGAAGGTGATTAGGTAAGTGTTGCCGTATGTCCTACCGTTAGAGTGCTATACCACCATTCCGGGAACTTTCTGACTGACCCTCGTACTGTGCTGTAAGCTTCACTACAGGTGAAGACATTGACATCTACATGAAAGAATAAGAAATCAATTGGCAAAGTTCAGAGCAATGCAGAAGTGGCAACTTTGATGCCACTCTGATTGACCAGTCACCGTGCATTCCAGTGTTTTTCCCTTGATAAAAAACTGAAAATATGCCTTAAAAATGTGCTGGCTGAATTCACAGAAACAATAAACTATAGTAAATCCTGATCCTATAATATAAGTTTGTGTGTTTGTACTAGAAAATGGCAAACTTGGCATTTTCACAATGACCCCCTATCTGCAAAGGAACAGCATCTCCATGTTCATTATATGGCAAAGAAATGCTTCTGTCCAAAACAAACTTTAATTTTAGCCCAACAGCATAGCAAACAATAAACCTAAATGTTTCAAAGCTTTGAATAATTTTCTTACAGAACCTGTGAATGCATTGGGGGAAGTGACTGTCATTGACATTATCAAAAATTGAATAGATTGCAGTGCACATTTCTTGACTATTTACAGATAAGAAACCAGTTTTCAGATACTGAGATATCCTGTGACATATTAATGTAAAGCTTCACAACTTTGATGAATACTATATCTGATTTTATGATGAACCAAAAGTTAAATAAACCAAGAATTGCTGAATTTTGATGCAGCCTCCTTTAGAATATCCAGATGTGTCTAATCTTCAGTGCTCAAACTTCTCCTGTCTCCCACAGTTTTGCTATGTAAAGTTAGACTTTCAATTCAAATGGCCACAAAAGCAAAACATTGCAACGGACTGGATATTGGACTTAACATTAAGATAAGCCCACAACCATCACTTGGAATTGTAAGTCACTATTTGACAAGATAAACTGAACTATTCCTCACATTAACAGAAGGCAAAATGGAAAAATAGTAATTCCTTTGATTTATCAGTTATTACTAGGGCCCGGATTTCTATGACATGTCATATTTTTTTCCTAGGGTTTATTCCTATTTTTAAATGTAATTATGCATGTTTCCAGTCATTCTTATTGAAATTATGTCGTTTTTATTGTGCATATAAATGCATATTTTAGAGTTTTATTGGTTTTACAGCATATTTTGGCATAATTTTGAAATAAGGTCATATTTTTGTCATTTTAGAAACAATTCTTTGATATAATGTAAAATTTCGGTTCCATAATGTTTAGTATTACAAAATAAATTCCAGGCTGGACTGTTGCTTCAATGTGGAATAGAGTTCAAGTACATGAAGTTCGTATTAAAAACCGTATTTTTGACTGGACTGTACTTGCAGTTACAAAGGCGAAAATTTGTGAAATGTAGCATTTATGACCTGGCAAGCCGGCTTTTCCCAGTCGAGGCGGGAGGGAGGCAAGTGTAACGGGTATTATCCTATTGTACTCCGTCTTACTATAAGGTATATACATCCCATTCTTTCTTGGAGGGCTTAGAAGTATTCTATTTATATATGTGGAGGGCGTTATAAGACTTCAGTTTGACCTTACAATGCCTAAAGTGAGTACATGTAGTTCAAGGAGCGCAAGGTTGCGTAGTTTTGTACAGGAGTTTGGTGATAAAGTGTTTAGTACCGATGGCAAGATATTTTATTGTAAGTTGTGTGGCGTGAAAGTTACGGCAGAAAAGCGATTTACTGTGCAGCAGCATTGTAAAACTTTTAAACATGGTAAATGTTTAAGCAGATTATCTACAAAGGATAGCAGACAAAGTTTGTTGTTTAAAAACAGTTCCACTAATTCTTCTTCTTCTTCTTCTTCTTCTTCTTCTTCTTCTTCTTCTTCTTCTTCATCTTCTTCTTCTCCTTCTTCAACGAACAATGGGTCGGAATTTTCGAAGGATTTGTGTCAGTGGATGGTATCTTCGAATATTCCATTAGAGAAATTGCATAATCAGCACTTCAGACAATTTTTGGAGACATACACTAGTCATCCTATCCCAAGTGAATCGACGTTAAGAAAGAATTATCTTTCTACATGTTATGAAGATATGTTAAATAAGATTCGAACATCTGTTGCTGACAACAAGATATGGGTTTCCTTGGACGAGACTTCTGACGTAGATGGGCGGTATATTGCGAATGTTATAGTTGGGACCCTGAAACAAGATCAACCTGGAGAGAGATTTCTTCTTGACTGTGAAGTTCTCGAAAGAGCAAATCATTCGACTATAGCTGTCCTATTTGATAATTCCATGAAGTTGTTGTGGCCAAATGGAATACAGCGAAATAATGTCCTTCTCCTAGTAACAGATGCCGCTCCATACATGAAGAAGGCTGCCAAAGGACTTCGAATCCTCTACCCGAAAATGGTCCATATTACTTGCCTCGCTCATGCATTGCATAGAGTGGCTGAAGAAGTTCGAGGACATTTTCCTGATGTAGATAGGCTAGTTTCAAACGGAAAGAAAATATTCATCAAGGCCCCTCTTCGAGTGCAGAAATTTAAACAAGAAGCTCCTCTACTGCCACTTCCTCCACAGCCTGTCGTCACACGGTGGGGTACATGGTTGGATGCTGTGGCATATTATTGTGAAAATTACACAGCCATTGAGAAAATGTTTAATGGCTTTGACAGCAGTGAGTCAACATCAATTAAAGCTGTCAAGGACTTATTCTCTACCACTCTAGCACAAAATCTGGCATACATAAAGTCAAACTTCTGTTCAATTTCAGGTGCAATAACTCGCCTGGAATTTGTAGGGACTGAACTCTGTGACGCGTTGGACACTGTAAAGAGCATTGAGAATGAACTAAACCGAACTCGTGGTGAAATAAGTGACAGGATTAAAACCAAAATAGAAAGTGTTCTTCATCGGAATGCTGGTTATTCAACATTATGCAAGATTGCAGATATACTTTCCGGTAAACTAGCAACATTCGAAGATGATACAGAACTGTCACCAAACGACTTGACATTCTTCAAATATGCTCCTGTCACATCATGTGATGTGGAACGAAGTTTTTCCAAATACAAAACTATCCTTAGTGATAATCGGCGATCTTTCAAATTTGAAAATTTGAAAATGCATGTAGTTATAAATTGCAATTGTAACAGTGAAAATTGAGACGTGAATAACTCAGTGAAAATTGAGACGTGAATAGCTTGTGTTCTTTTAAATGGTGTTTTTAGATAACAGAGTTAAGTTAGTGTTCATACCATGTGCACCAGTGTTTGTCTAAAATATGAACGCAAATATCAGTATTAAAAAGAAAACAATGAATGGTTTAATCCAGTACGAAATGTCGAAATTCCATCAGTTTTCTTTCCTTCAGAGACATAATAGGGCTAATTTGGTAAGTAGGACCTACTATCATATATTCATCATCTTTATTCTTAAACTCTAGTAAAAGTTGTAATTAAAATTGTGAAATTTTATGTCCCATTTAATATTTAAGGTCATATTTTACACTTTTTAGGTCATATTTGACATAATTTTGGGTCATAAGTGCATGCATATATTTATAGTTTTTAGGTCATAAAAATCCGGGCCCTAGTTATTACTATGGTGACAATTCAAACAAGAAATTAAATTTTTAAAAAACAAAAACAACCCAAGGAGATTACTGAAATTATGGCTTATAAAATTAGTCACAATAAACTCTATTTCAAACCAATAAATTCAGTTTCACTATGTAATGCTTCAGTGTCTTCAATCAAACTTTTCTTTGCTTTTAGATTAACATAAATGTGTCTCAAGCATCTCATTTTTAATACATGCATTTTACTGTCCTGGGAATCCAGTATTTTAAGATCAAAGGGCTCAATGATCATTAAACAATGCAGGGCCTGTATGCATAAGCATTCAGGCATGCTCACGTACATACATCTCCATATATTTATACAATTACAAGTGTGACTGTTTCACAAATTATTTTTGTTGTTCATATTGGCTACTTACATTTAACATCTCTAAGCGACTTGATCCAGACAAAAAAAAAAAAAGGCTTCAGACACCCAGACTTTGGACATTGTATTCCTACATTAAAATGGCCAGATTTGCCATCCGACGTATATAATTGTAGTATGCCATTTCAAACTATTCAAACATATAACAAAGCTCAATAACTAAGCTGGCTCAGGCAGTATCACTTCTGACTTGTATTTTGGAGGTGCCTGATAAAAATCTTGGCTGAAAACCAACTATCCTGAATAAGGTTTTCCATGGCTACAACAGGTTCCAACCACACAAAGTTTAAACATTTATTGCGATCAAGATGACAGTGATTTTCTTACAGAGGAAATAATGTGAAAAGAACCGGCTTGTACTAGGGCCCATGCCTGTGACAGCAAAATTAACAACTTTCCTGGGGTTGTCTCTTGAAAAAAACATCTTGTCTTTACCACCTTGTTAAATAATGTACCACTTTTGAGAAACAGGGTGGGAGAGGAAGAGAGATGGATATTTATCAAATATATGTCTGAATTTATATATTTATTGCTGACTGTGCTTTCAATTAAAACACCGTGGGAATGCCAGGTAATGGCAGTTCATATTTCGCAATATGTCTGTAACAGTTTTCAGTTACCCCTGGTTCCTTTTTTTTTTTTTCATTATTCACAGATAGGGGGAGGTTACCTGTCTGCTCATTTAGGTAGACTGTGGCAGCTGTTTATTATCAATGGACACTTTCTTTATATTTCTATTATTTGATTTCCAGGCTTTTGTGATAACAATCTATGCATATAATGCAGGTCATTTAAACACACTCAAAAGGAGTTAATAGATAATAATATAAACACATCGTTCATATTATGGCATGCATGAGCCCAAACACACATTTATTATTTTATTATTTATTATTAATTTATTATTACACAGGATTTTAAAAGCACCAAGACCATGACATACTCATCAATAAATAAAAACTGGTATAAGGTGAACTGTGTACCTCAGGAATGCAGTCTTGATGTGATACCACTGCTACAATGTCATCTAATGGTAACAGACTGTGACATTTGATTTCGGTGTACACATTCTTCCCCATGGTGCAGCACGCTAGAAGCTTGACAAGCTCAACATGATATCTGAGGGGAAACAAACCACACAATACAATATCATTTAGTAGAAAAAAATGTTGAGCAGTAAGTAATAAACAATAAAGGTGTGTGATTCACGGCAGCTTCAAAAAGTTCTGGAATACAAGCGAGAATAACGATGGCCTGGCAGGTAGGCTAGATCCTGCTCACGCATGCCAAGACATATTCACTTTAACACACAGTTATGGAACTTCTCCAGTTGCTGTCAGACTAGTGGATATGATAGGACACAGAGAGGAGTGTAGAATCTGAAGGTGTCAAGGAGGTACCCCGAGCAGCAGCAGTCATTTCATATAAAATAAATTCCACATAAAATCAACACAGACATGTAGAACCTGACCCCTTCAGAACTGAATGACTTTTGTGAGACTACAGTCCAAATGCACATAAATATTCTGCCAAATTCTACTACTTTCCTTGGCCATCAGAATTTTGAAAGCAGAAATCCAACGTTGTAAAAAAATAAATTTTGTTTGGGAGCAGAAGTGGTCCTAGAAAAAGTGGCATAACTTTGGCCTTGAGACACAGAGCTCATTTAAAGCTAATAAAATGCTCTTTCCAGTGACCAGCATATTATGACACGACAGTTATCTAAAGCATCTTCAAATATCAAACTGGGACTGTAATGGGACTGGGTTTTGTGAAGCATTTTACTGTGAAGAATCACTTCACTGTATTGATGAGACAACTTAGAGGAACATGCTTTTTTCAAGTTCTTCATGTTTCTTAACTAAGCTAACACAAATGAACTATGTATATATAATGAGAAATAATGCAATATGATATCTATAGGTATAAAAGCTAACAAAAAACTGTTGGTACAGTAAGGTTAGTGTGAGTTACATATGTATATTTTATTTCTCTCCGCTGTTAATTTGGTCTCTTCACTGGTTCAAGTATATGTACATCCTGTGTTCTGTTGCAGTGTTAGGACTAACTTTTGCCAAAATATCTGGCATAGCTGGATATATGTATGAAACAGAGAGGCCATGGGTACAAAGAAAACCTATTTTCATGTCATTTGATTCCTCACTAACAGACCGTACACACATCCTAAACATCAGAAATTATCATACACGTATGTGCATGTCACAAATCCTGTGATCTCTTTCAATTCACTTGTATCTTTTAGCAGCCTAATCACATGGTTCTGTGTACAGTTAGAAGAGGACGAATACAGTTTTAAGTATCTCTTGCTTAACCAGCTTTAATGTAAGGAGCTGCTGAGTTCCATGAACTGTTTCAGCTGTTGTGAATTGACTTGACAACAGACCCTCCTCTTTGTATTCATTTTCTGTTACAAAATTAAACTGTGGTTGTGTATACTGGACTGAGCCCATTACTTGGTCATTCTATGGTAGGTGCAAACTGGCCCTTGCTGCAAGCCTCTTAAGAGTACCACCACTCCCATCACAAGCTGCTCTGCTGGCACTCCAAAGCCTTCAATGTGGCATGGAACAGTATATGTTTTCTGCAAACAACTTTCTTCAGTGGTTATTCAAACGTATTTTCAGTAAATTTCATTTGATGTTAATGGATGCTTCAAATTATCTGATATCATTATCAGATTCTCATGCTCTGTATTTATAGCATCTGTAATCTTGAAATAAATTATGGATGGATGATTCCTCATGCATTGATGCAGTCACACCCCTGTACTTTAGCTTGCAAAATGAAAGAACAAATTTCGGGAACTTGCACAAAACCATAAATTCACTAGATTGTAGATTACATTTCAGCTTTCTGAGGAACATGGCTTGTTGTGTTGTACTGAATTAATAAAAACGTAGAAAGAGCACTTTTTCAAGCTATGATTCAATTTTTCACTTTGCAAGGGTTACTAATTCACACCTGTCAAAATCCACTATTTGAAGGTGATGCTTTCAAGTGTATTATGAGTGAATACATCTTATAACGCATTTCCCAAATCAGTGGGTTCTCGACATTCACTGTAGTCATAGAAAAGAACAATTTGCCTTAGGTGGCCTGCATGACATGCACATGCACGCACGCATGCACCCACCCCCAATCACACATGCTATTATACAGTTTCTGGGATGCAAACTTTGTAAAACCTAGTCTGACTCCTCTATGAGAATTAAAATTTCACTATAATTCTTTCAAATTGCACAATTATTGTTGCAGTTCATGTATTTTGACACCACTCAATTTGACTGATATGTAATCTTCTCTACTCACATCACCACAGTTGCAGGAACTTGTTACAACTTCAATTAATGTTTTGCCTGGTTTGGGATTACCTGCTCTGCTCTGCTAATCATATAGTCAGAAGCACTTGGAAGAACTTCTTGAACTTTCCAAATACTCCAATTCTCTGGGAGAACAGTTAAAATTATAACCCTCAAACTTTCTGATGTCACTGAATCCTGAAATATTTCTTTTAACTGTCTTAAATCTCAGCATGAGGTGAATGATAAACTGCACCTGATTTGACATTTTCAGTAATGTTTAGATTTTTTTTTCACAGCATTTTCAATTCTTTTGTTTTCAGCTGTAGGGCATTGATTGCAAGCTTTCATTTATGGATTGGATTCCAGTGGTTTTTGTAAAATGTCTAGTCTCATCACTGTCATTGTCATCTCTTTCTTCAGTTGATGCATTACATCTTAACTTAGATATCTGCTTGTGGCACAGTCACTATTTAACTGACAACATTTTGAGTCATCCAAGACAGTATGTTTCTGAAACTCTTATGTTCACTTACATTAAATAGGTTACAGTACGAAGCACCAGTGACAAGAAATGCCACAATTATTGTAAGCACACTTAATAAAAACATTTACAATACACAGTAAACAACTCTTATAGAGAAAGCCATCTTCTGGGATGTGGCACCGTGTAGAAATTGTGTTAACCGACAGTTTGGAGGAACGTATCACCTCCAGAGAACCAGAGAACAATATTTAGAAGACGTGAATGTTTAAAAATGGCCAATGAACACTACATGCTGCAGAGTTTTCAGGTCAGAGGCCCTAGACCACATGAAATCTGATGAGACCTGTCAATATTGCAGACATTGCATGACTCATACACTTGCAAGCCAGGCATGCCTGGACCTGCCCAACATGTACAGGTAACTGAGTTTGGTTTCCATGGATATACTGTTGTTGCAGTCATTTAAAACAATTCCTCACATTTTTTTTTCAAGTCTATATGCGGTAATGATCCTAACTGCATGAGCAGTATTCTGAGGTTCTCAATATATGGTTATGAAGATGGTGGCAATAATATGTTGCTTTAGGTTGCCTCATCAGTACAAGTGAAGTGGCCCTTCACAATAAAATGCTTCACAAAATACAATTCCACTGGAGTCCCATTTTTTGTATTTGCAGATGTTTAGACAGTAGTTAGATGTATACAATGTATTGTAAGTAACTGGAATACCACATGCTGAGAAATACAAGGTCAACAGTCAAATCCTGAGATCACGAAAACATTAATGTGCTCAGCATACACTGGTATAAGACATCACTTGGAGGGGCATTTTATTAGTTTTAAAGTGAGCATCAAATGGAGTTCATGCCTTAATTGGGGTAAAATTATTCTGCTTTTCCTAAGATAACTTCTTCCCACCACAAATGAGTTTTTCTGACAATTCTGGATGTTAGCTCTCAAAATTGTAGTGGCCATAAAGCAGTAGAATTTAGCAGGAATACTTACATCCAGTGGGACTATAATCTCACAAAAGGTATTCAGTTCTGAGGGGTCAGGACACAACTTGTGTTCATTCTTCATGGAATGACCCACAGGCTAAAATAACATTTTGCAGTAACTGGGAAAACCAGGAATGGAAACACTACATTGGTTCACACAGTGNCCCCCCCCCCCCCAAAAAAAAACCCCGGTAAATCCAAACAATGACCTAATTAAAAAAGTCTGAGTGGCATAACAGGGTGCACTGTCATAGAATAAGAACAACATAAGACAGGTGTAGAAGGTTCTGAGCTCTGTTATCAAAACTGTAGAGAAAACTGTGTAGAAAGTAAGAATGTCTGTTGGCAGTTGCCACAACATCTTCACAAAGATCTGAAGATGAACTGGGTCTGCCAAAATAATGTACAAAGAATGCTGTTGCGAACTCATACAATGACACAATTTCTTTCTAAAAAAATCAGAGAGGATGATTAAATCTGGTATTCCCAAAGTAAATGACAGTATCCCATGTTGAAGTTATCATCATCACCAAAGGCCATGAAGTTTCAGTAGGATAATTTGAGTGGGAAAGTGATTTCTATTTCAACTGACTGGACATCATGCACCACTAGTTTAGGGTCCTATTTTGCATTGTTTATTTTACAACAGTCTCAGTATTTCATATTATACAGTGCTGAATGACAACATGATTGGTGAATGATGAATTTGAAAGGATCTGGAAAGACGTGATTGTGGCACAATCAAGATAATATTCTGACATTTGCCTGGAGGTATTCAGTAATCACAGAAAATCTTAGTCAGGACGGTGTCCTGGCTGAGATTCAAACCGAGCACCTCCTGAATACAAGTCCAGAATGTTACCATTCTACCATCCTGCTCAGTAAACCTATTCTGGAAGAAGTTACAGTTTATATGGTGAGGTGCAGGTAGCTGTCATTAGTTGGGCTTTCATCCATATAATGAGGTTAATATACTATGAGATCAGGAGCTTTACGAAGCACCACAGAATCAAGTATAACGATCGGAAAATTGCTGCTGTACAAGCAGGGAGCAATGAGCCTGCCAGGATATAGTCAAGCAGGAATATCAAACTCTGGCTGTTCACANGGGGGGGGGGGGAGAGCTCACAAGAAGCATCTTAGAAAGCCGATGTCTTAGAATTCCTGTCTGACAATGTTCTGGCAGGCTCAATGACTGCTGCTATTCGTGATGCTTCATGCTGTGGTGCTCCTTCAACCTCCTGTCTAACACAGAACAATATTAATGTCTCTATACAGATGAAAGACCAGCTGATGGCCTAGTACTTCGAGGCTGCAATAGGGTTTCATATCTCTTTTAAGTACTTGATTGCAGATGATTACAAATGAGAGTTTCCAGAAATGTTCTGAACAAGTGCATGAAGGCTGGCAAAGTGTGTAGCTTCTGAAGGAGAGTACTTTGAAGGCAACAGAGTCTAACAAACACATTAATGACAGATAGACATGAAAGGATTCTGACGATGGTGTATACTGTACTTCTTTCGGCTTATTTTGGACTTCATCCATCGTCTGGTATATAAAAGACAAAAGACCACGACATTTCAGAGACTGGATCTGTCTCTGTCCTCAGGTGGGTAGGGAAGGATTAACCTACTCAGTTGGGCCCGTTAGAAAGAGCTAGTCTCAATCACTGAACCCAGTTTCAGTTGGGTCCCTACCCACCTGAAGGCGGAGACAGATCCAGTCTCTGAAACATCGTGGTCTTTTGTCTTTCATATACTAGACGATGGACAAGTCCAAAATAAGCCAAAAGATGTACATTAATGACAGTTTTAAAATGTGGTTAGCTATAACTCAAGGCCTTCCTGTAACAAAATTCTTGAAGTTACTTGTGAACAATATCAATGGCACCCAGTGATTGTATGAAACTGACATGATCACTGCTGTGTACAGTTACATAAAAACATATTCACTCTGCCAAGTGCTTCAACAAAAGCCTAGAAACAAAAACAATAAAGTCGACTCAGAGGAGCACAACATTTATCATCTCCATATTCCTCATATCAAGCTGTAACACTTCTGATTGGCATTTGGATGGGACAGGACCTTTAAATTAGGATATGGTCACAACCTTCCACATCCTTATCAATACATTACTAACTATCATCTGATCATCCAGTCTGAATTACTGACAGTGCCATTAAAAAAACTACAAATAAATAAAAACTATATATTCATGATCTACAAACATTCTGTATAATGTCTCACTATTTTGATGTACAATATGAATGTAGTCAAATTATGAACTTCGCTTCTGACCTGGGAATATGCCTATTTTATTCTTTCTTTTTATCCTTTTCTTTCTTTCTTTCTTTCTTTCTTTTGAAGGAGGGGGGTGGTGAAAATAAACTACTGAAAACTTTTACAGGTGGACTGCTAGGCTGTTTTCTCATGCTTTATTCTAAAGATATTAAATTGAGAAAATGGAAATTTAATGAGCAAATCCATATAAATGTCATGAAATGTCACAAAGACAAAAAGAAAACCGTCCAGTGTGACTATTTAAGTTTTATCACTTAAAAACTCATCATCCTTACATGTTTCGATCCCTAAGGATCATCCTCAAAGGGCATCAATACTTTTTCCGGAAACTACTATTACAATAGGTGTTAAATTATATGCATACACATATAATGTCTGAAATACACAATGTACACAATGTTCAACTTTTCACAGTCACAGCAGCCTTCCTGGTATTACAATTTTTAAAGTTTTTAAAAAACTTCAAAAATTTAAAAAATATTAAAATATACTAGCCTTCCTGGTATTAAAAAATTAAAAAAATTTTAATACCAGGAAGGCTGCTGTGACTGTGAAAAGTTGAACATTGTGTACATTGTGTATTTCAGACATTATATGTGTATGTATATAATTTAACACCTACTGTAATAGTAGTTTCCGGAAAAAGTATTGATGCCCTTTGAGGATGATCCATAGGGATTGAAACATGTAAGGGTGATGAGTTTTCAAGTGATAAAACTTAAATAGTCACACTGGACGGTGTTGTTTTTGTCTTTGTAATTGTTAGTGTGATGGACTAGAATGAAACAAATCAAAGTCATGAAATGTGGTTGGTGATGGTAACAAGCCAAAATGTGTCTACTCATTATTCAGTCATGTATTTTACAGTGAATGTAACAATTATATTTCAGTCATTGTTCCAGGAGTTTTTGGATATGAATTCAGATACGAACCTCAAGGCACTGCTCTCATCCATACGGTGTCGCTCACATCTCATCATTTCAACAAAATGATTGAACGATGCCTTATCATTGTAGAAGACTAACACATCCTCACCTGCATTCACAAGCTGAAAACAAAGTTGACAATAATGACTGCTGTCTCACTGAATTATTACATTTGCTGCTATGTGGCAAACTGTGGGCAGGGTGGTCTGGAAAAGGCAGTAATCCAGACTAATGACATGAGAATAAAACACCACTAAAAATCATAACATACTATAGAAATTATTGTACTTGAACACTAAGGCTGCTCTCCCATTGCATGAAAATGGCCATACACGTCTCTGTCTGTCCCATCACCTCTCACAAGTCCTCTCCTGATGACAGGATTGAAACTGGTTTCAGCATTCTTTGCCATCAGAATTGCAATTGCAGAATGTAATCAGATGAGCTGGTTTCTTGCTGACTTCAGCTGCAGAGTTGCATACCAATGGTGAGGTTAGGGTGCAGTGAGGTGGGGGTTTTTTTTTTCTGAGTTTTCTGCTATCACTCAGTTGCTTCAGTGTGTCAGCATACAGTGCAACTACTTTCAGATGACTGGTGTATGTAATTAGTTTAATGCAATCAGTTGCACCAGTGGGAGAGCAGCTTGAATCATTCTGAATCACTTTTCATGATTTCTGAGCATGGCTTTGAAGGTATTCTGTTGATATCTGCTTATATTAGATGTCATTACTCACACGTTTTTATGTCATGAGAAAATAATTATTTCAGGATGACACCACGAGAGCTTTACTGTAAAGATATCAATGAACAACTAAGCAAATGAGACCAAGTGTTGCACACCATACTAGGAATGATCAGATTATGCGATACCCAGATAAATAGGGTCTGGAAGTTCTACTGTATTTTATGTAGAATCTACATATATTTCCTCTTTATTTTGTTGTTCCTCATTAGATACTTCAAGGGGCAGCATTACAGATCATGTCTGCAAGTTCTATGCTTGATTCATTCTATGGTGAATTAATATAACACTACTGTTTTCTTCAGTTTATTCACATAAATATTGTCACGTGTTTGGGTCCCAATATGGAATGGGCCTTTCAGATGTAAAATTACAGTTAAATTAAGAGCAATTTCAGAAGGCTCATTCAGCAGATACCCACAGCTCTGCTATGCTATCACCCATCACATTATCTCATGCAACTTATTTTTCAGTTACAGGAATGACCATTGATATGTCATTTTTTCCTGTTGCTTTCCCTCCTATCATTCTTCCCAAAGCGATATCAACATCTGACATACTAATTTCTTCATTCCCTTCCATTTATAAATCTATATGTATACTTATGAAATAGTTACTTTTTCATCAAATAAACACTGGAGTTCTAGACTTCAGATAACCAAATGTTTTTATGTAACTTAAAAAAATTGCTGTCTTATGAAAGGCTGAGGAAAAAGACCCCTCGTTTACAATCCATAATCACTGAAAAAACTCAGTTCTGATGAGTGAATCTGCTTCATAAATATCAGAAACATAATATACAGTTCTGACTCAGGAAAACAATTCAAACAAACGAGCAACTATACATACCTCTTGCATCACCATGTCTTGACATTTTCTGATGAATGAGTTTTCTGCTCTTACAATTGTTTGCAGGAATTTCAGATACTGAACATGTTTCCCATGAGTCTCAATACAATGAACAAAATGTTGGATTACTTTTTCATTCACTTCATTGCATAAAGTAGAGTTATCTTGGAAAATTGCACGAACAGTTTGAGCCTCACGAATCTAAAGAACAGAATACAACATTGTTAGTGGTACAAACATCAGATTTTTTAATCATGTATGCATGTTGTTTTAACCTTGTAACCGTAAGCAGCTTGGGTTTAAAAGAGCAATACACTATACGTTCATTAAAATTAAAGTGACATAAAACACATCTACTTACACCAGGATTGAGGAAAAGATCTAACTGCTTGTGGAGAAGAACCTGATTCTGCTGGTTTCCGAGGCAGAAATTCTGAAGAAATTCATGTGCCAGCCGCATGAGAGAATTCATCCTGACATCTTCTTTCTTATCGTATGGTATCTGCAGGAGATCTAACACCACGGTATGCACTCCCACATTTCGGAGCAGCCTTTGTTCATGCTTCCGAGGCTTCACTATTCCACCCACTGTTTGGGTACACAGCTTGTTCATTCGGATGAGGATCTGAAATTGAAAGTTCATTAATTTTATTGCTTGGGCTGAACACACATTAAGGATGTATGATGCGATTATCTGTACCTAAGATGGAGGAATAGGAGTCTGAAGAAAAATGCACAATTAGGAGATTCACAATTTATGAACCTCACCAAATATTACTAGAATGATGAATTCAGGGAGGATTAGATAGGTGAGGCTTATAGCACACACAGAGAGAAGAGAAATACACTCAACTCTCGATTATCCAGGGTCAGATAAACTAGTTTGCGGCTTAACCGGGGCTTTTTTGAGGCTTATATGTTGTTTAATATTCATTCACTTTCATTTCACATGGTGAGTTGTAACAATATTTTCGCAATACTGTGAACTGATCTCTGCATTTTTTGGTCCCGTTATGCTACAGTGTTCTAGGGTAGGGGTGAAAGAATGCAAGGACTTGTGGAAAGTTTGAAGGACAGATACATCGCCCCAGTTAGTCTCTTTGTATCGATCTTCAAGTGCGTTAGCAAAATGTCAGGGTGTAAAAGGAAGCATGCCATGTTAAGTCTTCAACAGAAACTTGCATGAGCAGGGCTTCAAAATGTTAAGCAGTGACAAAATCATAAGTTCAGTGGGGGTGCAGCCAGAAGAGTGGGAAGAAAGTGAGAATCAAGAAGAGGTGGATAGTGCTGCTAGTAAGAAAATATCACATGGTGCTGCTTTTCATCATTTGGAATCCTTACTAGACTATCTTGAGAGTGAAGAGAACAGTTTATTAAGTGACAAGCTAATATTACGTAGGCTTCGTACAGATATCTGTAAGAAGGAAAATGCCGCAAAAAAGCAAATTACAATATTAATATTTTTAAATGTTAAGTGTGAATATTTGTAAAAAGTGTTGGATGTTGCTGAACACTGTGACTGAAATAACTAATTCATACTTCAGTGTGATGTAAAAAAGGTATTAAATAGGCCATGAGATGACATAAAAATGAGGTTGAATAAATTTTAATACAGGTAGGCCTATAGTATTATGAAGGTACAATATTACAGTACTACTTTTAATAAAATTTGTCTTAACCAGGTTTTCGATTAATCGTGATTTCCATCCCCACCATTATCCCAGATAATCGAGAGTTGAGTGTGCATACAAAGTTTACAGCAACTATTAGCTTTGCAAGAATTTTGATGCATGGAGACAACGGGGTCAACTATAATAACACTTGAAATTAATTACAGTAATTTAAGTCTACTTAAATCTTTTAAATATAAACATGGACCAGTTACATGAAAACATATACTTTTGTAAATCAAAGTGAAAGCCAAATCTTGGTGCAATCTAACAGGATAAGGTTCAAGATATATAATAATGTTTTCTTGTAATATCTGGGAATTCAAAGCGTAATTTGTTTAGGAGCAGTGACAGATAAATATGGAGAATTGGTAGGATAATGACTGGCAGGGAAAAATCAAAAGTATTTGGTGAATCCTGCCCCAAAGCTACTTCGTCCACCACAAAATCCACATGGTCTATTCACGGAGTGAGATCAGGATTTTACAGTGAGAAGTTGGCTTCTAATCATTTAGAGATGTGGCACCATAAATTCACAACATCCATGAAATCATGAAGGCTAAAGACAATAATAACCATGTCTTCCTGTATGCATAAACTAGAAGCTTATGCATTTGAAACAAGCAAGCTCAGGTTGCTAACACCATTAATCAAAACCATGGTTATTAATTTTTATATGATTACCTGCTGAATCTTTTTGTACTCTTCTGCCTGGTCCCCATGAAGTGGAGGGCCAATATCCAAATCAATAGCTGAGCCCTGTTTTTCAGAAGATGATAAACTTGGTGGAGTCTTCTTTGGTGAGTTTTTCCTCTCTGTCACTATTTCCTCTTCCTCATCTTTGTTCTTCTTTTTTCCATGTTCTTCTGCACTTTTTGACTTATATACCCACAGTTCAGACTTTTCCACCGACTGTCTTAATACATCCAAATCAGATTTTATTTGTTTATATGATTCAACATCACTGTCTGACACTAGCAGCTGGACCTAAAGGGATACAAATTATATTTATTAAATGATGATTTAGGCTTTTCATGGTGGATCAATCTTGACATCAATTCTGCTCCTGGGTGTTTGTACTGTGTGGAAGTAAGCTGTGCTGCTGGAGTGTCAGAGGAAAATACTGCCTCAATCTCCATCCTCAGATAGACCCTGAAGATGGAGCCAGTACACTCCACTGAAATGCTGGTAATACAGGCCACTTCTGTTTCTCTGACAAGATTCACTGTCTCTTTTATGGAGGTGAAAAGCTTTATTACATATGTTGGGGAATGGGACATGGTCTTTTGGACCACAAAAACTAACTAGTAGCAGGCTATGTGTGGACCTAATGCGGTGAGTTGGAAAGCCCTGTTCTAGATCACAAGAGTTTCCATATTTTCATCAAATATGGACACCATATCAAGAAAAGCAGGCACTAGAATGTAACAGCATGGGACTGTCAAGACATGTGCCAATTTATATTGTAACGTGGATGGCCAGAGCATTGCTAGGTAATGGACCAGTGAACACCCCACCACCAAATACATACAAGGAAAAGATGTAAGATGTGTCTCAGTGGAGGGATGTTATTGTGTGTTGCTATGGAACAGCGCAGCAATGAAGTCATCAGCTAGGTATCACATGACCTGTTCTCTGTGTGGTCTTTCTTATGCAACAATAGAATTGTGTTTTCTGTACATGGTCCCTGCGGAGGCTATATAATGAGAACAGCACTAGCAGTTCAGTTCAGTGCTCGGTAGGAGAAAGCCATGGAAGTTCGTACAAGACATGTGAAGACTAAAGTGTGATTAAAAGTCTTTATTCATGTGTAATATTTGGAGAGATTTGAAGCACTAGTTCCTGTGTTTTAATTTCATGACCAGGAGAGGACTAGTGCATGTGTAACAGTGAATTATAAAGTGTGTGCAAATCAGCAATAGCGCTGTATTTAAGTGTGATTAAGAGAACTTGTAGCTAAGGTGCTAATAAATCCAATCATCTGAACTAGAACCTGTCATTTTTGTCACATGTACCATCCTACACGTGACATTCTGGTGTCAGAATTTGGCAGCTTGATCATACTGGATTCTTCAGCAGTGGTTACAACAGTAAATATGTGACAACTGGGGTTAGAAGTGGTTGGATTTATATTAGATTGAAGACTGAATAGCATATTTGCAGAGCTGTTATATTGAAAATGGAGATGCAACAAATAATCAAAATGGTGGCGAAAAGAATGCCAAAATGGACGCCACCCAAGAAAAAATGGATGCTAATACAAAAACCAACAGAGAGGAAATGAAACAAGAAATAAGAGCCAGCCAGAAACACATGAAAGAGATGATCACAACCAGTCAAGAGATGTTGGAGGTCGCAATATAATCCATACGGCCAGAGAGGGTTGAGACGATCCAACAGCAAGTTGAAAACATCATGACGCACATCAACCACAAGATGCAGTCTCTCCAGAAAACCTGCCAAGAGATGACCACATGACATGAAGCAACAGTGGCATATACAGAGAAGATTCAGCCCTTTCCAAGGATGATGCAGTCTGTAGCAGAGCTTCAAAAAGCCCCCAAGGAAGAAACGGCAGTGACACAGTTGGAGGACTGAGGGAGTGGTGTGGGGACCAGAATTTGGCTGCAGGGCACCACCAGAGGCTAAAGGGAAGAATCCAGGAAGAGACTGACCATTGCTGACAGTAGGATGACCTGCGCTACAGGAGTGCCATGGCTTAGGACAGGCATCATCAGAAAGGACTGCACCAGGGCCATGGTTGAGCGAGCAACCCAGAGGGTGGGGCACCTCGGGAAGAATTTATGGAGGCACTACAAAGAAAAATGGGAACAAAGGATCTGGGCAGCAAGCGGCAATTATATGTGAGAAAGAAGAGGGCAACTGCAAATGGAATTGGAGTGGGGAGCTTAACGCAGCAGTCAACTCTGGGAAGAGGAGGACCAAATTACAAGAACCTCGAGAAGACCCTAGAACAAGAATTCGTGACGAGAGCAAATGGGATGTCCAGTGGGTTTTGGAAAATGAGGAAATGGACCTTTTGATGAGGTCGGCTCCCTCCAAAATGAAGAGAGATTGTGCACAGAGTAAGAGCCAGAAATGTGGAAGCACCTGCCACTCGGGAAAGTTTTGCCCTCACAACACACACGTGCGCATGCACACACACACACACAAGGGATGATGCTGAGAACCTGAAATGACTGCAACCCTATCAGGGAGCTGCGCAGGATGAGCGCCTTTAAGGAGGGAGTGGATGTACCAGTTGAAGAGTGATCACCATGGAGGAACTGAGCCACAGGAAAGTGACGTCATGAGCAGAAACTTCAGAAGGAAGGAGTGGTGATGCACCAACAGGCTATTCAGAAAGAACAGCCTTAAGGAGGAAGCAATATAATGTGAATGGCCAGAGCACTGCTAGGAATCATGTGACTTGTTCTTTCTTCTTTCTTCATGTGTAATATTTGGCATGATTTAAAGCCCTGGTTCCTGTGTTTTAATTGAATTACCAGGAGAGGACTAGTGTGTGTGTAACAGTGCATTACAGAGTGTGTGTAAATCAGCAACAGCGCTGTATTTAAGTGTGATAATGAGAACTTGTAACTAAGGCGCTAATGAATCCCATCATCTGAACTGGAATCTGTCATTTTCATCATGCGTACCAGCCTACATGTGACAATATTATCAAAAGTAATGGATTTTTCTCCAGGTAAAGAAATATGATGCACTCTGTTACTGCCAACAAGACACAACTATTTCTGCAGGTTTCCAGTTAAGTTGCTGCTCATGGAGGAAATTCAATTTTTATCATCACAGGAATTCAACACAAATAAATTTTCACACCCAATGTATAATACTGAACTCTGAAACTGAGTGAGCTTGTAGGCTGATGTGTACTTTACAATAATTATGGTCTTCTGGAAAGTGATGCCATTCAGTTCACTAGACACGCACCATTCTTTGAGAGCAACCTGCTGCCTCTGTCTTCATGGTAAAAGAGTGATCCAAAAAGGGCTCTTCCCTTTCCTTCACTTCCCTATCTCCTACTCTCTTGTCCCCATTTGTTCCTCTTATACATAACATTTACTGTATACTCCCAATTGTCTATGCTAATAGGTGGCTGGGGCGAAAAAGATGCACAAATAATCCAAAAATACAGTTAATCCAAAACATTTATTGTCATGTGTGTTAGTGACTAAAGATGGGGTTCAGATCGGTAATTGGATTTATTGACCACTTACAAGTGGTAAAAAAAAGTAAAGCTAGCCCTGTAACAGGCCGTGAAGGCCCATAGGGTTGTGAGACGTTCAGGGTCCCACATTATCTAGACAATCGGCTCAAAGATGGTGGCAAGGTTGTCAACCTTACGCGCCGGCCGTGCTTTACTCCCCAGGAAAATTATTTACTTAATTCCTGGTACTCATTTCTGTTAGAGGCTGAGTCGACCCCAGGGCCATAGTGTGGCTGGAAGGATAGGTCAACTGACAAAAATCCAATGACCTCATTGGGACTTGTACCCGTGACCTTCCGGCTTGTAGCACAGCCCCTCAACCAACTATACTACCACATGCTCCCACTTACAAGTGGTAACTACAACTAATTATAACACTCTAAGGATTACTGCAATGATAACACATAAATAACACCTTCAACGTCTGCTTACATTAGTTATTGCTTGGTAACACATCTCAGCAATGGGTAGGCCTTCACAATGTCTTCACTATCTGTTTCCTGGCAACGGATTTTAACACAAGCATTGTATCAATCACACTGCAGATATCACTGCACTACAGCACACATAAAAGTCTTAAATTCACATGTTAAGTATTCATGGGTCAACTTCTTGTACTCTTTTGTACTCCTCAAGCTTACTCCTTGCTTGCTTCTGCCACCTACTGCTCCTGCTTAGGAATTCTGCACACTTATACAGATGTAGCACACATACATCACAGAAAACATATGTTATGTGTTCACTATCCAGCCAGTCCAGTGGCGAGCTGGCTGGAACTATGGAAAACACGTCACAAGACTTCTACCCACTGTTCTGCAACATCACTGCAAATACTGCTCCAGTATTGTTGGCTGTGTGTGTGTTGCAGGCGTTGCCTAGCAATGGATTTACATGTCACATTGCTCCCTCTTTAAGGCTGTTTGTCCTGAATAGCCTATTGATGTGTCACAGTTCCTTCCTTTCTGAGGTCTCTGCTTGCGACACCTTATCTTCCTTCCTGTTGCTTGGTGTTCCACCCCCCCCCCCCCAACTTTGGAAGGGGCCGACCCCTCCACTTCGGCCAGTTACTTATTTTATGCAGTCTAGTGGAAGTCTTGACAATTTGTTTCACAATATTCAATCTGGAAATACCATATAAGGTTTTCCTGAGTGTTCTTCCACTTCCCACATGTGATCGTTGTCCTGACCTCTACCTTCTGATGCTGTCCATGGTTGTCCTCTTCTTCCTCAGATATAGTGGCGGTCTGACACCTAGATCCTTCGTTTACTTGCTGCCTCATGCCTGTTGCATTCCAGGCCCTTCCAACATCTCTTCCCAAATGTCCATCCTTTCCAGGTTTCTTGTACCACACTGTCCTGGTCATATCCTCGGAATCACGTCCCCTGCACGATGCCACTGTTGTATGGTGGGTCATCTTCCCACAGGTGGCAGCCAACTTCCTCCAGGATCCACGATCTCCTTGGGTCAGTTCCTTTGGCTTTCTGCATGCCCTGCAGCTAGCTGCCAGCTCCTATGCCACTTCTTCATTGGTCCAGAAGATTTCAGTGTGGCTTCTTCCTTGGGGACCTCTGGATGCTCTGCTTTGGATTCCATATCCATTGGAGTTGGTTCCTTGCATTCCAGACATGCCTCCAACATCCTTTCATGACGGGCATCCAACTTGGCCATTATCCCTTTGTGTATGGCTTTAATTTATTCTTGGAAGGCTTCCCTTTCAGCCCACCTTTCTTATTGAGCGGCTTCCGTCTTGGTGTCAATTTTGGTTTCCGTCCTTTCTTGGCTGGTTCTTATTTCTGCCAGCAGGACTGCCATCATTTGTTCCACTTCCATAGTGTGGTGGTATAACTTTTTACTGCAGCCTTCATTCTAATAATTCAATCAATCACTCTGATCCAATTCCAGTTCTGACACTAACTGTCACAGGTATCAGTGACTATAGGCAGGGTTCAGATTCGTAATTGGATTTAGTCTAGTACAAACTTACAGGTTGCAAATGCAAGTAATTATAGCACTCTAATGATTACTGTAATGTTAACACATAAGTAACATCTTCAACGTCTGCTTACACTTGTCATTGCTAGGTAACATATCTCAGCAATGGGTAGGCCTTCACAATGTCTTCACTATCTGTTTCCTGGCAACGGATTTTAACACAAGCACTGTATCAGTCACACTGCAGATATCACTGCACTACAGCACACGTAAAGTCTTCAATTCACATGTTAAGTATTCACAGGTCAACTTCTTGTACTCTTCTGTACTCCTCAAGCTTACTGCTTGCTTGCTTCTGCCACTTACTGCTCCTGCTTCTGTACTCCTCAAGCTTACTGCTTGCTTGCTTCTGCCACTTACTGCTCCTGCTTAGGAACTCTGCACACATACAGATTCAGCAGACACAGATCTCAGAAAATTCACTATTCAGCAAGTCCACTGCCATGCTGGCTGGACCTACAGAAAACATGTCACGTGACCTCTACCCACTGTTCTGTGATATCACTGTGGACATAAAGAAAACACTGCTCCAGTATTGTTGGCCACACGTGTGTTACGGGCATTGCCTAGCAATGGATTTACATGCCAATATTTTATGCTACAACATGGAAACTGCTGAATATAGAAATTCTAAAATGTATGCATAGCATCAAGATTTCCTTAATTACCTAGATAACCATAAGATCTATGGAATAAAGGGTATTTCATTTTTCTCTACAATGTCTATTCAAAGCATATTCCGCTAGGATAAATATTTAGTACGTTACACTTGAGACAGACAAACAAATGAGCATAGGTCATTATATTAAGTTGTCATTAAAACTGCCTAATCTAATTAAAAACTTAAATAGCTCAATATTCCTTTTTATAAAATTCACCAAATCATGCAAATCTAATTGCCTGTTCCCAAGTTATTTCATGTGTACAGACAGAAATTAGATGAAGAGACTGGGAAGACTAAACGGCAGCTATACAGGATTGCAAATATGCCTACAAAAGGTGCACAGATAAGCAGAAAACTGGATAATTACGAATATGTAACCCATGGACAAAACAACCCTTCAAAGTGCCACTATTCCCATTCTCAATAAAAACACAGCCCTTTCAAGGGTCATTGATTCCCACTAGTTCACTTACAGCTCCAATGAATGTATAAGGGGTGGGTCTTCTTGGCCCTTGCACCACGACCACAGTGATCTGAACCACCTGTAATGGTGGGTTCTGTTATCTCATGTTGTGTATTGTGCTGCTTGTCTTGTTTTTGAATGCTTTCAACAACAAGGTACACAGCATGAAACACAACAGGAGATAACACATCCCCCCAACTCAAACACATATCCGCATCGAGAAGACTTCATACGAAACAACAGAAAATAGCAGTTTCTTGCCCAATAATTTTAACACCTGATGATGACCACGTCTATTGGAACACGTAGTGATGAACCTTAAAACTTTTACAGTGAATAACTTTTAACAAATTTTATAGAACATAGTACTGCACATGGGATTTTAAAAAACTAATCAGGATTAAAAGTTATCTGTGGCGGAGTCAGCAATCAGTAAGAATGCGAGCACAGAAGCAAAGGACATTGTTGTGATCCATCATCAGGCAATGACTGGTGAAGACACAGCAGGTTGAGAAGACCTAGTGTCCTATAGTGATTTGTGAAGTGTAGTAACGAGTTGTATAAGTGTGCAATAAATCCAATTACCAATCCAAATCTTGTCTACAATCACTCTAAAATCGTGACAATATCAAAGTAATTATTTCATCCTTGTATGTATAAATACATTTCCTTCTACAATTCAGTTTGTAACTTAGGAGTTCTATCTTGTGTGATATGAGGCTGTGTAGCCCACTGAAAATCTCTGCTCTGCTTGCTACCTGCTTCATGCTGTTTCTTGCTTGCCTTATTCTTTGATCCTGAAGATGGAGGTGAAATCTTAGTTGACCTTCAACTGACTATAAGGTATTACATTCCAGAAGACAGAACTCTTTCAAAGCATCACTGTGAAAACCTCAATTTCTATAATTTGTATCTGTTTAAGACGTTAATTTCTAGATATGAAATGCTGAATGTCACTGTTTATTTGGCAGAACATATTACCAATATACAGGTATTCCTCAAATTATGTGACAGCTGTGTTCCAAAAAAGTGAGAGGGCAAAATCACATAAATGGAACACAATTTTCCTTTCTCCCCCCACATTCCACCTTCATCACCCATATAAAGAATATTCAAACTTCTCTCTACGTCAGTAATGAAGCAATTCACATTAAGGCAAGTACTATTCACTGAAATTTATCTAAATTAGATGAGCACATTAAAATGAAATCACCTGTTTGAAAGCCTGAAGGACTTCTTGACGCTGACTGAAGTGCTGGAACAGCAGATGCAGTGCCCCAGATACCAATGGAGGATAATCATGCATGGTAAGGTGAAGCAGAACTCGTAAGAATGTCCGTCCACCTTGCCCATCCAGATCCAGGGCAGCACACTCTTCACTGAAGATATTTTTTAATCAGTGGTAATTTTAAGATAAAATTATATTAACATGTTTCATTATTCCAACATTCATTTGTTCTACTTCCCTCTTTCCACCAAAATTTTCAATTCACAATTATTACCTGCTTCCAAAAATGCCTTCTGCTTGAGTTCCAATACTCTCCAAGTCAATATCCTTCTGACCAATGGACACAGTATCACCAGAACTTCTCTCAGTCTCATCAAATTCCCTCTTGAATATGGAAAGTAAACAGCTAATACGGTAGTCGAGTCTCACATCCAAGATAAACTGAAATTATATCAATCATAATGAATTTTAAATGGGCAGTGACTTGCTATGATACAGTCTTCTCATACAAGATTACAGCACTGATCTGGCTCATAATACTGTGTCGTGCTGCCTATATCTGAGTCAGGGCGGACATCCATTGTTAGGCAATGGCTTGGTAACCATGATTCCGTATTGTTGTCGGGGTGACAATGAAACAAGTTCACATGACACTGCATACATAACAGATGTTACCACAGAAATGAAATTAGGACTAGTGCAGTTTCTGCGGTGAGGAATACATTAGCTACTGATGTACAAAACACGTGAAATGGGACCCTTGAACAAGGTGCCTTCTAGGCCGCTGACTTACAGTTGTAAGAGACCGGGAGAAATCAGAACAGAAGGTACACACACAGAAGTGAGAGGAGAGTTCTGTAGTCAGAATTACAGCCAGCAGTTATAGGCAGATTTAAGAACTGAAGACAGAGCTCAGAAGCGAAGTCAAACAGTTCAGAAGTACGAGCGAAAATAGAAAGTGTGTGAACTGTTATAATTGAGTGTAAATGTGTAGTATCATCCAATAGACACAACGATAAAATCTAAGGAACCAAAATTATTTGTCACGCTACCTCCTATACGCGACAATACTTATGAAAAGGTTGTGTCATGAAGTTATTACTGCAGGACGAACACGAAGACAAAACAATACCATTCTTTAAAATTCTTCTCCTTGGTTCATGAAATAAGGCTACACATACATTAATTATCAAGTGAAGTTCCTGCTAGTACTGATTAAGGTGTCCTCTTTGAAATGTCGATGGTAGATGCATGAATGCACATGGACTCTCAAGAAACACCACCACTCAGAAACTGCAAAATTGAGAGACATACCAGATACATTACACTCAGCCCTGCGGCTAACTTCACCATTCAGGGGCTTGCAGCAAGGAGCAAAGTGGTAGCACAGGTTGTGCAAGAGGGACAGGCAGATCTACTAGACAACAGTGTGACAGAGTGGTCCAAAACTTCTGACAAACCTTGTCAATTAATATATTATAAAAGGATTTTCCTCATAATATGAATTCTTCACCAGATGTTATTTGGGTGATAAAACTAAAGAGGCTGAGATGGGTGAAGTATATAGTAAAAACACGCACAAAATTTCAGTCAGAAAACCTGAAGGGAAGAGATAACTTGAAGACCATGGAATGATCAAATTAAATTTTGCTATGCTATGCAATAAATGTGTTATGGTAATATTCGTAATTCTAACACACACAGGATGCAATATTATATTAAATTACTATTTTCTACTGAATGTCAAAGCAATAAAGGACGTGGTTACAACATATTTACCTGAAGTATCTCAATGATTTTCAGTTTCGTATCCATCACTAAAGGATACTCTTTTTTGAGTTGGGAAGGTTTCTTCTGGACTGATGGTGAGATGACTGTTCGGGCAAGCCCTGCTGCACCTAGTGTGAGGTTTGTCACAAATCCACCCATATCTCCAATGGATCGCAGGACCCCACCTTCAGCTGTTATTATAAACCACGATAAATAAATTACAAAAATCGATGTTAGTGTACAACAATGAATTCACACAAACTGAATAGCATTTTGCCTCCAACAGTCTTTCTCCAAAAGCTGTTAAAAGAACAATTCATTAAATACCAGTGTTCATACTCAGGATTAATATGCAGAATTACCATATTTCAAACTTTAATAGCCCGTTAGTTTGTATTTAATTAGAATCTCCTTGGAGTTGGATCATACTGTCAACTACAAAATGAATGATAATTTCTTGTGAGTTTTCTCGACACTTCTTAATTACTTGCAATTTTTTACGCTACACTGTCTTTCATTTCGGTGGCTAACGCGTTATTTCTCAAAGAGTCTCTTTCCTGATATGTGGGCATTTAATATACTCAGTCTCTTCACACAGAATCTTATGGTAATTACTTGTCAGTTAACAATTCACATCATTCACGAACTCTGTTACAGACATGTTCCAACCAGAGACAACCAGTGCAAAGGTTACTCTGGCAAGCAATGGTGCAAAACACTGGAGGATGCCTCATTTCTTGTAACGTCTCACAATTTTAAGTAAGTTTCTGACTGGGATAGACTTGAAAGGATTCTGATGATGGTGTATACTGTACTGTATTTAGAGACTCAGTTATTTTAGGAAGAATTTTAACTGCATTATCAGAACACAAATATCCACTCCAAATTGTGATATAAATGCAAAGTGCAGATGTTAGTACAAAAAACAGTGTAAACAGGGTACCTTTCCAGCTTGACTACAAAGGACACATTAGCCTCCATCAGACTTTCAAACTAAAGCCATAAACACTTAAAACCGATGTTTCTTGAAAGACTGATGTTGGCTAGTGTTAACTTGTAAGAAGATGAAATAAGCAGAATTCAAATGAAAAAGAAGGAGAGGTTTTAATTCCTGGAGTACAGAATTTGTGAAAAAATAATTTAATCTCCTCTTTTAGTGCACTGTTATTACCTGACATCTGATTTCATTCTGCATTTACCTGTCACACAAATCATAAAGATCTTCACTTTCTGCATCCTATCAGGATTTTAAATATGCCACGAGTCCTGTTATCAACCATCTCTATTTATTAATAAACATTTCATATTTACTATCATTTAAAATTACAAAAATAATTTATGAAATTACATCATATGATTTAAAAACTTATGTGAAAATGTCATACTCCAAGCTACAGCTATTCCAAGTGGTACAAGTAACAATGATGTAATCAGAAAAAATAATATAATTGTGAAGTATTCGAACTTAGAAAGAAAAGTTCTGGTACTCACTGACATCCAGGGCAAATTTTGTATACAAAGAAAAATAAGACTGTCTTCTGCGATGGAACATGTAGACTGGAAGATAGTTACTAATGTTTCAGAGGAACCTGCTCCCTAAATTTTCTGGGTATCACTCTTCTATCCCAAAATGGAAGCAGCAAGTTTCTATGAAACATTGGCACTATCCAGCATGCTTCATTGTGTCACATCTGAGCAGATAATATACTTCACAGTCAGCACTGTGGGAACCTCAAATCTGACAAAGCAAAATAATGCTGCAAGTTTTCAGTGAAGATGGATACCGAATGAAAAGTATGGGAGAGGCAAATACAATTCACTCTTAGTGTAAAATTCTCAGATGATTCTCAATGCGTAATTCTGTTGACAAGCTGAAATATGAAATTGTTACTGTCCACAGTCAGCAAAAAGAGCAATGGCAGTGTTCGGACAAACAAAGCACAACAAAACAATTTGAAGTAGTTTGGTAACACCCATAAAAGGTGAAATGTTCAAAAGTGACATTACATTTGCACACGATATTTTAGTATACAGAAATAAAGGAAACATGGTAGTGAACTTGGGATAAATTAAAACTTGAACTACTGAGTTTTCACTGACCATCCCAGAGGCCTAAACATGTCAGATCCTTTTGAGTTATTATTTTGTCCAGCTTTTCCTTAAGTCCTAACTCTATTCAAACAGTTCATCTTGTGTTCTCTGATGATTACACATAAAAGACAGAATTTTCAGAATCATTTCAGTTCTCAGGATTAATTTCTGTACTTTCAGGTTGTAAAATAAGATTCCACTGTCTCAGTTTCACAGCCATATCACATCACATAATTACTCACTTGCAGGGGCAATCAACAACTAACATGCAGTAATGTTGTATTCTTGCATCNGGGGGGGGGGGTTACACTCCACCACGCAGCAATGTTAAGATTTAAAATGAAATCCTTTAAAATCTGTCACTGCACTATATTATTCGTTCTACTTTGCCATCATTAGATGCACTGAAATTTGGGGGAACTGCTATGCTTTTGCTTTACTGTGATCAGTGTTTTTCATATTTATACTGTTTCCAAATGAAGTAAATGTAGTTCCTTCTTTTGTGTCACATGTGTTGTATCTGTAACATGTAATGATGAACTGTGTCATTCCCTTATCTTCATGGAACACCTTTAAGTTGTATATTGTTAATGTGGTTGATTGTGTACTTACTCTTTGTTAACCAGTTCCTCAGCAAACTCACAACATCATGACTGCAAATTAGACAGATAACAGGCATACAAGTATGCACACATTCAACCACATTAACAATATACAACTTAAAAGTGTTCCATGAAGATAAAATACTAACACACTTTACCATTACACATTACAGAGACATAATACATGGGGCACAGGAGGAGAAACTACACTGACTGCATTTAGAAACATTATAAATATGAAAAACACTGATCACAGTAATGCAGAAGGCATAGCAGTTCCCCCAAATTTCAACGCAACTGATGATGGCTGAGTAGGACAAAACATTTAGTGCAGTTACAGATATTTAATTCGAAATCTTAACATTATTGCATGGTGGATGGTAAACAAAACCAAATTCAAATTCACATGCAGTAAGCAGTATTATGTCAGCATCAATTTTAATCCACACACACACATACACACACACACACACATACATATATATATATAAATAACAAGCTAACAATGCCTGCTTCTGTGTAATAATGTATATTAGCAAGTTGGCAATAGTTACGGATAGGTGCACAAGATACCAGAAATAAACAGCAGAGGAATATATGATTGAGCGAACACTGTGGAGTCCATCTCTGCCAAAAAAAAGTTCATAGTGTACCCACAGACAGTAACATGGCTCACTGAATGTTCCTCTATAAACTTTACTGAAATGCAATCTTTTCTCAAGATCATACTCAGTCAAACTGTGATTTCAATGCATCTCTGAAGGGCTACAATGTATATGAATATATCACAATCCAAAAAGTACAGTGTAACCAAGGTCCTTACTCTCAGACAAAAAATGCTGCATATGCACAGAAACGGTTTTCTCAGCAAATTTAATTTCAATAATGCTGATAACTGTTAATAATCTTTCATTCAAATTCGATGGGCTCTATGCCAGTGACAATTCTATGTCATCATTGGTTTATTTAATGACATTGTCAGTAATCAGACCACATAACATCCAGCAATTTGACAGTTATAATGAATTGATAACAATAAAGCAATCATGGCATAATTAAGACACTACCTCCAAGGCTGCATGGAGAAACTGAGGAAAATGATGAAAGGTGTCCCAGCTGAGGCTCATGATAATGTAGTCATTTCTTAGTGGTGAGAAGTTGGGGCAATGATAGTACAAGTACTCCATATGGAGTAGGCTACATTTGCTATTGTAGAAAGAACTTATGTTGCAACACACTATTCCTCGCTTTGGTGGCCACGTGTCTGTAAAAGTACTGCGTAGCTGACCTTCGCAATGTTTGTTTTCCGAGTCAGCAATGTGACCACTCTCTATTCCCCTTTCACTCTAAAGAAAAGTCCCTTTGTTCAAATTGAAGCTTCTATGTGTAAGGCAAGATATTCTCAGTGTCAACATGGCTCAGAGACGAAAGCAGCTGAAGGCCACGCGAGCTCTCGGAGAAGAAGAAATCTGTGATTTGATCTCCGATGAGTTATCTGACTTGCCAACTGCTTCGTCTTCTGATAGCGAGGGCAGTGTCAGTGGCAGTGACAGGGGCCCCCAAAATATTGTGACCAGAAGAGAAAGTGAAAGTGACAGTGAGAGCTCCGATGAAAGTGCGAGTGCTAGCATTGCGGGGACAGCCACATAGGGTAAAGTGGACAAAACACTCACTTTGGGAAAGTTTACTGGTGATCCAGGGGTGAGACAAATGCCATCAGACCCTACGCAAGTGTCTGAACAGGAGGAAGGGGGACATTCTTCTTCAGTCCTGTAGGGATACTCGCGTCGTGAATATGATTTCCACTATTCACAATTCGAGCATGGTCGATGTTCAAAGACGACATGGGCAAGTGAAGAAGAAGCCTCTTTGTATTTCTCAGTACAATATGTTCATGAAGGGAGTTGATAGAGCCGACCAATACTTGGCCTATTATTCCCTTCCTAGGAAAACAGTAAAATGGATGAAGAAAGTTGCCTTGTGGCTTACAAATTGTGCCCTTTTAAATTCATTTTTGGTTTTCAAAGAGCTAAACGAAAATTCAACTTTGAAATACAAGGCATTTCTCATGAATGTGGCAAAAGCCTGGGCTACAGACCTCATGGTGGCAGCAGAACCTGCATCAGACACAGACGTAGTACAACCTGGACCATCTAGTCCCACCCCATGGAGGCCTCATATGGACCCCCCTGGGCGACTCTCGGGTGATATGTGGAAACATACCCTCGTGAAAATTGCGATGAGCGAACAATCGATGGGGAAGTACCCTTCTAGGCATTGCTGTGTGTGCGCTGTGCACAACAAGCAAAGCAAGACTTCTTACGTCTGCAAGTTCTGCGTCATGCCTCTTCACAGAGGGGAATGTTTCCAGAAATATCACACTCTGAGGCACTTCTAGGAGCTCTGGTAAGTCTTCTCCAAAAATTTTAGTTCATAAAATTAATTAGGAGATTTTATATTAATTTTTAAAGTGAACAGTGCACAAGTTAGGGTAGTAG